ATTAACAAGTAGACATGCATACTATTCTGTGTGAAATGTCTGTTGATTTATTTTTTAAAGTTTGAAATAGGCACGTGTGCTTATGATTATTCAAAATGTTTGTATGAAATACAAAATTTTCAAACTTAGGATTTCTAGTTGAAAATAGAATGACGCCTGTGACAGCTTTGTGTTTATTAACTACATTGGTTAATTTTATCAATGGCCCAAGACCTTCAGAATGATACTACAAGAACATTTAAGTTTGAAGCAATTATAGAGATCTCAAGACATAGATGTCTATAGTTTAGAAGTTTTTGAAATGTATTTATTTGGTAAAGAAAAGTAGTTTTTTTTAGAAACCTAACCTTTTGGAGATAATATAAACTAAGTAGTTATAACATAGACTACACCATTATCTTATTATGATTCCTAAATCTTTATTGCAAAATTTCCTCAAACATAAAAGATTAAACATATTAAATTTTTATTGAATATTTTTGGCATATCTTTTGAATATTTTGAAAAAACTACTATATGAAAGTAAACCTAAAGACATCTTAATATCTAGGAGAGAAGGTGAGAGTTTGTAATTTTTAAATCTTTTGATTGGATGAAATTAAATAGATTTATTCAATTGATTTTATACTTAATAAAATTATTTTAAAATCCTAAGAAGAAATAATGAAGTAGAATGTATTTTTTTTAAAAAATATTAATAATTTTATTCTTTGAAATTTATGTCAACTTTACTTTAAATGATAATTATTGCAAATTTTTAAAATTCATGTCAAAATTTTCTATAAGAAGCATTAAAAAGATTAAATCTTTTATGTTAGTTATAATTTTTAGAATTAAGATACAAGATGAAGTATTTAGCTTTATAAATAAATAAATATTATATTATATGATTTCTTTTTAATTAATATTATTTCTAAAAATTAAGAAAAAAAAATATATATACATATATATATATATATATATATATATCTTCTTTATTAATTTAATATTCTTAAGAATTCCTTTATATTATAATCTTTTAAAAAGAGCCTCTAAGTATAAAACCTCTTAAATATATTTAAAAAAATAATACTATCTATTCTATATAATTTTTTTTTATATTTTCATTATATTTATTATATCTTGTAAAATTATATTAAATATAAAATTAATTTTAAAGACTTTTTAATTTTAATTAATTAAAAACTTAAGATATTATGGCTTTTGTCTTTTATTTTTTATTATTTGCTTACATTTTAAAATAAAAATATAATGAAATAATACATAAAAAATAATTAGAAATTTTATTGAGAAGAAAAAATATTTCTATTATTAAAGATATAAATCTTATCAAAATTCGACAAATAATATATTCAAATATCATTAAAGAAGAAAAAAACAAAAAAGAAGATATAGATATTAGACAAAAGAAAAAATAGAGTGGCTATTACCAAATCCATAGGATCCAAAGAATCTTGAACTATGATTGAAATATTAGAAATACATTGATAAGATTGAAATAGCCTCACTTTTGTCTCTATGTATAGTAGTTACCAAGAAAGCCTTGTTGAAGTTTTCTAAGAATTATACGACTTATGGCCTAAGTATCAAGTTGTGAATTGCTTTGTATTCAATTTCTCAAAAGTTAGATACTTATAGATTAAGTTTTAATAGTAATGTGGCATATTTATAGAGAAATATAAGTTAGATCTTGAAATAATTTATTTTTAGAAAAAATCGTTAATTTTTTTTAAAAGAGATATTATTTAATTAATATATTCCATCTATTTCAATATACTTCTATTTATTTATGTAAAATATATTTTTCCTATACTATCTCTCTTTCTCTCCTCTTCTTTCCTTGATCTTTTTTTTCAAGATAAATTTTATGATAAAAGATTAAGTTTTTTCAAAAACTATTTTAGTCTAAGATCCATGCTATAGTATTTACAACAAAATTTGATCTATGTCCTCTATAAAAGGGGTTGATAAGTCTCTTTAACAATCAACTATGTTTCATACTAAGATAAAGAGACCATTTATATGTTTGATCATTGTTGAAGCCTTCATAACTACTTATATAAAATATTTTTTGTTTATTATTAGGTATAATATCATTTTTAAATATATTATTAAGAAACAAGAGTCTAAGATTCTTGTACCAAACATGTTGTAGCTTGACATCTAATTAAAAATAAATGTCTCTTTAAAGATCTTTATCTTGATTTTAATCTTATGAAGGATAAAACAACTTCAATGCTTTATCTAAAAACATTACAAATAAAAAATATTTAGATAAAATTTTTGGTTATTAATTCTTATGTTGCAAAGAAATTCTATAAGTTGATTCTTAAATTTGATTTTTCTTAATTTAAACCATCTTCTTATTAATAATCAATTCTTATTTTTCTTACATAACATCAATGAATAGCACTAATAAATTCTAATATATTTGCAAGGTTCTCATATTCTTCTAATGTGTATTTTTTAATATCAAACTTGAGCTAATGTACAAGATTTTATAATATATTTTAGTACCACCTTAAATCCAAGACTTATTTTATTTCAAACTTGTGTTTGTTATCTATTTTAATAAGTGATGGTAATAAATATTTTCTTTTCAATATATTAGTTGTAGGATAAGACTCAATAAGACACATTTGGAATACAAAAATAAATCTTTATTGATTACAATAATTATAATCAATATGAAAACACAATATTTGTTAATAAATTTGAAAAGTCTACAATTTCAAATTATAGATAACAACCATAATTAAAAAAAAACCAGATTTGATAAACTAGAAGAACACACAAATCAACATATAGAAAACTATTTTATTAGAAAGAAAATTTAATTCCCTTTGTGTTAATTAATATTACATTACAAATATTAATTTGATATTTATTTAAAATATTCTTTTTGACTATTACTTTAAAGAGAAAAAAATGAATATAAATTGATATTAATCTTTAATATGTTGAAAAGTATCCTCCATATCCTTGATATAAAATAGGACCCTTAATCACATCTAATATCACTTCAAAATTCATGATACTAATAATTATTATATAAAAAAATAGCTGTTATATTTACCAATTAATTTTTTTATTATATGGTACAAATACGTCATTATGGTTAGATACTCTACCACCACAAAAATAGATTCATTAAAATTTGAGACTTAAAGATCTTTAATAAATTCCATTAAAACAATTGACCACTGTTTCTTTGAAACACATAAAGATTAAAGAAGCCTGTAAGATTGTTGATGTGGAGTCTTTCCTTCAAAATATGTGTCACAAGATCAAACACATACTTTGACAACTTTCTACACTTAAATCCATCAAAATTTATTTAAAATAAGCTTCAAAGTTTTGTTATATCTAAAATGTTTTTGTCGCTACACAGTCATAATTGAAGTGAACACGATTGTCTTTTGAAGAGTGCTACGCAGCAACAAGAATTCTCATCCATTTGAATCGCTTTCCTGCATCGCTTTCCTGCTGTTTGTGGGGACGCATCATTTGTCAACCTGGCACCGAGACCCGGAGTGGAGGCCACCTTTACACTTGGGAGCAATGGGACCCAACTCATGAATTGTGCATTTGAGGTGGTCCACAGATCTTACTGCTGCAGCCAACAAAAGTGATGAGATATATATATATATATATATATATATATTACAATACGCCTGAACGGAGAAGGGAAGTGACCAGATCACAGCATTTGGTTGTCGAACATGTGCGTGGGATTGACTAGTTGGACACAAATCCCAGCATTCCGTGGCCTCCTTGGCCCACGACTTCTCCTCTTCATCAGCCTTGTGCGTATCCACACTTTCTAGATCAGGAAGACGGGAGCTCACAAGGAAGCAACCAGAGTCTTCGATTCTGGTGTATATCCCTCTAAATACCTTTTTCATGAATTTATTAGCTTATGTTGATTCGGAAAGCGTGCGTGGTATTGTACTGCGGGAGAGGATAATGGAAACGATATCGAGCATTGTCATCCAGCGGCACAGTCACAAATCGATCTGCTATCTTGGCAAGATAAATTTGGGTTAAGCCTGTTGAAATGCACTGTTAGAGAGAAGCTTCTAATCAGTGAATACCCAACTTGGAGAATCTGAGGTTTGGGTTGAAGTGTTGGTGAATATAGTACACGTGATGCTCATATCTAAAAAATATGGAACAAGTACAGAACAACATCCGCAAATCATGGTCCAAAACGTGGAACAAGAGTGGTCCTATACGGAACATTTTTTTACTTCGTAAAAGTCGTGCAAATGACTCATAAGACACTTTCTCTAGTGGTTAGATAAAAACATACACTCTATCGGTTTTTTTTAAAATTTTAAAATTTTTTTTTATCGGTTTTTATCTATCCACTGAGTGGTTAGAAAAAACCGACAATCTGTCCACTCTGAATCTCATGTTTATCATGCCTTTTGAAGTGTTCTGGGACAGTGACACTTCAGAACGCTTTGAATCTACGCGTAAAAATGATGAGAGTAGGTATGTACTTATCAACACATAAACATAACTCGACGCTGGATGCCGTGTAATAGAAGAACACTAAATATAATAAAATAATGTACAAAGTATATTTAAAAAATAACTTAATTACAAAGCAATAATAAGTGCCTTATATTTTGTCTTGGGGAGAGAAGTTATAACTTCATCGTAATTACTTTGTAACTGCCTAATAGTAATTCTATATCTACTAACATGTATTAGTAAATCTAACATGCCGCGCAGATTAAATTAGGATTGATAGATTGCTAAGGTGGCTCCGAATCCCACGCAGTCGTGCACTTGATATGGGTTTATAATTCAACAAAAAGAACACCACTGGAAATGGGAAGTTTGACCTGGACTCCTGACAGGTTAGACTCGCGGGCATCCTCGTAAAACTCACCTACCTTTATTCCAGAACTAACGCTCAGATACAGTCAGAACTCATTACCTCCTGCCTTTGCATGCCTTTGAAGCATGTCTTCAAATTCAACAATAATTCTGGATTATACCTGCAGACCTGACAGTACCGTCGCCTAATAATGCCTGCACAGCCCCAGGCTGAAGACCAAGCTACGCTGTATATAAATTCAGTCCATTTGGAGCTCAATCAGCCACCCAGAGATCCAAGTAGCCTGCATAAGGAGTGTTTTAGGACTGTCACGGAGGAGGGGCCAAAGCACAACAGCGAACAGCTTCGAAACTGATCTAGCAGTGAGTGTTCTCCTAACTTTTTTCACTCCAAATAACTAACTGTAATGTTTTATGTCCTGCCTCATCTTGTTGATCGTTTTCCAGCAGCCGGTTCGCATGACATTGGTCAGAGAAAATTCTGAGAAACATGTGTATGATGCTCGTGCATGCGACTCATGAGTTTGCAGACGATGAGCTTGCATCATCGTGTCAGACCTCATTTAAATTTGTATCATGTCCAGTGGGTTTAACATTCTCCGCAAGTCCAAGTGTTTCAAACCGTTGTTAAAAAATTGGTACCTTCAAGCTCTTCGACTTTTCTGTGAGTGAGGGGTTTTAAATTTGAGGCTCGAAATCAACAAGTTGCCGGATTGATAGCCTTGCCGGAATACATCATTAGGCATGGAAGTGCAGCTCTAACAAGTACTTTTCCATACAGGTCGTTACATCAACAGATTGCAAACATGAAGAAGACTACGTGTTTCAAGCTGCTGCTGGTCATTGCTGCGTTGGTGGTCACCACGCTGCCAGCTGCAGTCGAAGCTGTGGATATCCAGGGCTTCGACAATTCTGCTGCCTGTACGGGCACAGGATACACCTTCCCAGGAATTGCGCAGCGAACTTGTGCGGCGTTCACGAATGAAGGATCCATTTTGATCAGAGACCTTTCCAGCTGTCAGACCGGCAGAGCTTACCGCAACGGAGGATGCACGACTGAGGTGGGAAATGGGAATGGCCCGACTGTGTGGTGCTTCGTCGGTGGCTCATACACAGGAGCGGCCTGGTTCAATAACTGCAGAAGACGTCGACTTCAGGCGGACAACAGCCACGAATCCTGCACATCTACCTCTGCTCCCAACGGTGTCCACTACACTGAGCACCTCTCCAAGGGATCATGGATCCTGCACTCTGACAATGCCACAGAACTCATGGCCGAACTCAAAAAAATTGTCGATGAAGAGAAAGTGAACTGGCTCAAAGCTCGCGGTGCCTATCTTATTCCTGGGAGCGACACAATTGAATACGTCTAACGACCCACAAACACATCCGCGAGTTCGACCCAAGCACCGGGCGCCGCTTCAGAGGTCGAACCAGGTATCATGTCTTGTAGCCCGGCGGTCATGTCTTGTAGCCCGGCGTGCTCGAACATCGTAGCAACTCTCAAATAAGCATGTGTGTGTAGACACCAGTGTGTCTCAGAGCGCAGGCATGTCCACGGCAGGATCAGACTTTGCATCTGATTCCGCCAGTTTTAACTAGTACGGTGGATGACTCTCAAGGCCTCTGTCTTGGAGACCAAGTGTGAAGGTTGTAATGCAGTTGTTTCTGCGTGTGAAGTGTGAATAAAATGAGCGTTGTGCATGATCTGGGCGCTTGCTCCTACATCTCTCTACCCCAACGTTGCAAATGGTTACTATGAGTTAGACACGGACACTGCTGCATCGCAGAATCCTGGTCACTGCAAGATGCCACAGTGCTGTCCTATCTTCACACAAGTCTGAACAATCTTTCTCCATTTGAACGTGCAAAATCACTGTCATTTTTTGGAGATGGAAGCAAGCAAATGATTCTACAGTGGTTGTTGGAACTTAAAGCACACTTAGGGTTAGGATATAAGTTCTATTTTTTTGAGTAATTAGGTTTTCATTATTGTTATTACTTGTTTTACATTTTGCTTTATATTATCGAGGAGAGTTCAACTGCAAGGGTTGTGCCTCTTTGACGAGGTGTGACGCTTTGACACCTCACACTCAATTACTTGTAACTATTGTTCTCTAAGACGCCCTGTTAATTGGTGTGTCGTGTGTGATGTAGGTCAGGTTCTCTTCTTAGAATGCCAATCATCAGTAGGTGAGGGGCAAGCTTTGGATATGTGAGATGTTTCATAAGGAGGTTTGTGCACATAGCTGATGTGAGGCAATATTGAAACCTTATTTTTTATTCAGAGGCTAACTGACAAATAAAATGGTAGTGCACTTTGATGTGCTTGATGCAGGAATGAAACTAAGTGATGTCGACTAAGGCTAGAGCCAATTGATTGTGGCAGTGAAGAATAGTGGCAGCTTGAAAGTTGGTGGCTTGATGGAGGTTGTAGAAAAGTTGGCACAACCACACAACTTTGAAGGCGGTTGTAGCCATTGTCATCTATTCTACCTCCATATTGGATAGGGCAATGGAGTGATGGTGCATCAATCTACTTACAACACCTTGTGATAATAAGATAAAATCTAAGGTGGAGCACCATTCATTCACTTTGCTAGTCCAATCAGAGTCATCGTAACCAAATATGGTCGAGGTATGGGAATTTGACAATAATATTCAATAGCAAAATATAATATATTGCAGAGGTAGCAAAAGTAGTATTTGTATATGACAACATATTTTGTCCCAAGATTATGAATGTATTGGGTGAAGATGTTCACTACAAAGGTAATATTTAGGTGGGTGCACATACTAGCCGAGTTTAGCAAGCCAATGGCATTGGCATAGGAAAAATCTAGAAAGGCAATAGTGGTGGAAGGATTGGTACAATAGTCGAAAGCCAAAAGCTTAAATGTAGGTACAAAGAAAGTCAAAACAAGGCAAACATTTGTTTAGGAATATTATCTTAATATCCATTTGGTGGACGTGTGGATTTTATTGGAGTGCAAGGGCAGAAATAAAGCAAATGGATTATATGTAGACAATATGGAAAAACGTTTTATTATAGTCTAGCTTCAAAACTTGATTAAATCCTTAAGCAATAAGAGAAGCCTTGTAGCATGGAATGTGGCCATCGTTATTTAAATTAAGTTTAAAAATCTACTTGCAAGTGATTAGATGCCAAGTGGGAGGGAGCTCAATGAAGTTCCAAGTACTATCGGCTACATGAGAATTGAGCTCATTGGTAATGGAAGCTTGCTCATGGACAAATTTTGGAGATATTAGGACTTGTTTATATGAATTGGACTCAAGCAAAATAAGAAATAAGGTGTATAGCACCTATTTTTGCATAGACAAAAGGATAGGGAGGCATCAAGGTAACAACACAATAGGGTCATGATTTTCATCAAGATTGTAAGGAGGAAGAATATCCTTTATGGATCTAGAGGAAGTATGGCGAGATGAAGCAAGGATGAGGCTAAGAAATGACATTGTAGCAATAGAATCATCAATGTCAAGAGTAAGGAAAGAAATCAAAAGATGGAGCTTTGGAGCAAACATGAAGGATGTTTAATATGAGACATGATTTTGATGCTACATCTTACATCTTCATAAGAATGGAAAGTATTCTCCACTCGAATAGAAGCGAATGTTTTCATAGCCTATGATGATGAAGGAGCATGGGTTTGGAGTTATATAGGCAATACAACTTTGAGTTGAGGTAGACGTAGTAGCAGGAAGATAGTGGAGGAGGAAGAAACTAGGGCAAGGTGAGGCCCAAGTTATATCACAGTACCAACAAGTGGATAAGGGGTGGTAGATATTGAATGGTCAACAAAAGTTGAAGAAGAATTTGGCATAGTAGATGGTGGTGCTTCAAGTAGGAGTACAAAAAATTTAGTATCTAAGAATAATGTAGGTATTGTAATCTCAATGGATGGAGTATTACCTGAAAAATATTCACTTTTGTAGTGAAGAAGTTGAAGGACAATGTATTTTGAAAAGTTGTTAATAAAAATAACATAATATTCATATCCAAAAAATATGGATATTATAATTCTGCTACTTAAATCAAAATGAATAATTTTTAGAAAATGAGTGGCTCAAAATGTAATTTTTTTAGGAAATTCGGTGGTTGTTTGTTTTTCATAAAGATATATAAAACATGGATATAAAGGGAGCTTCTTTATACATACTTCATGTAATGGTTGAGTGTAGAATTATTATTGTAATAAAAAATTTCTGATATGATCAAGGTGACAATGCTAGAGATATGCCTTGATAGAAGTTGTTGGTCGAAAAGATTTTTTTAGCTTGACTTCAGTACACAGAATTTGAATCAAAGTTGGCAGCAAATAAGGATCTTGTGTAAAATGCTCATTGGCCATAGAGATTTTGAGATGGACAATGTTATTAGCAAAGTGTCATGCGGAAGTAAAGATCAATAAGAAATAGTAGGCGTCATTTTTTAGGGTCCAAGAAACAAGATTTGGGATCATGAGGAAGGCAAGTGTAGTAATTGCCATGTAGGCTTTGAGGGAGTTAGTATAAATGATTTCTCTTAGCGAATACAAATTGTTATGGAGAGGACACTCAACAAGAATGTTGTCATGTCAATTCAATAGCTTATAAGTTTGATTTTTAATTAGAAGTCCATCTCTAATTTGGTTGTATTAGCATGTTGAAAATAGATTTTTATATAAATCTAGAATATATAAAACTTTTAAGTGGTAATGTAAGGATCCTTATTCTAATTGGATTTTGATTGTTCGTTGTCCATAGATTAAAAGGGTTGTGTTGTTTCTAAGATGCATTTAGTGATTATTAGATGAAAGACTTTAAAAATCAATAAATTATATTTTAGTGTGAGCTAGATGATGTATAGTTTTTGTATTGATTATTTATTTATTGTCTTATATTTTCCAAGTTGAATGGATTTTGTTGAGCAAAATGCTTCTGTGAAGTAAGCATGAGCAAAGAAAGAAGGTAGGATTTCTTCCACATCTTCATCTTTCTATGTTGGTGTTGATTTTTGTGAAGTAGGTGTTGTTGTCACATAATTTGCTACAACTTTGTTTTTGTTTTTAAAACAATTTGATCCTTAGTGTCCCATCTTTTTATAATGGAGTCATAGAATTGTAGATTTGACTTTTGATTTCTTGATATGTTTGTATTCTTTTGAATATTGTTTTGGTGGTGGTTTTGATGTCTATTTGCCTTTATTTTTTCAATTGATAAAAATTACTTGTGATTCAAAAGATAAGCCTTTCATAGTTGTCTTCTCTTAAAGAAGAATAGAGATTAATTTAAGAAGTATTGCATTTCTTGTGATTCTTAATGTTTGAATGATAGTGCCATACTGTGATGGCATAAATCTCATAAGGGTTAATATTTCTATTTGTGGTGAAATAACAAGTCTTATGGCTTGATATTATTGAAGTAAATTTTTGAAATTGTAGAAATGTTGTGTAACTATTTTCTTACTTTTATCTTTTGTGTGATGAATTTTTCTTATAGGTGGGCTTGTGTAACTATTTCACTTACTGAATAGGTATTCTCAAGAGACATTTAGGCCTTATTTGTTGTTTTGAAAGCTCCTACATGTAAAGAAAACAAATTATCCATACAATCCTATATGGCAAAAAGTGCCAATTGATTTTATTCTTCCATGTGAATATTTCACTTTGATTTGTTGATGATGTTGAATTTAGTTCTAAGATAGGAGTTGGTTCTTTTCAATTCCAAAAACTAGATTCCAAAAATCTTCCATGTCAAATTTCTTCTAAATTTTTTGTTTCTAAATTGAGTACCATAAGCTATCAAACTTAGGCCATTCTTTGGTGGAGAGGCTATTTGTAGCCATGCTCATAAGAAGTAAGGTTTACTGGTGTCCTAGTTTCTTTGAAGGTCTTCTACAAAGCCTTCTTTTTGTGAGTTTCTAATTACTTCTTCTCTAGAACATTCTTTGCTAAGTTTTCAAAGAGAAACTCTCCGATACCATGTTGGAACTTAAAGCATAATTAGGGTTAGGATATAAGTTCTATTTTTTTGAGTAATTAGGTATTTATTATTGTTATTACTTGTTTTACATTTTGCTTTATACTGTCAAGGAGAGTTCAACTGCAACAGTTGTGCCTCTTCAACAAGGTGTGAGGCTTGGACACCTCACACTCAATTACTCATAACTGTTGTTTTCTAAGAGTGGTTATGTGTGCATATTACAATGGCTACTATGGCCACTGTAGAAGTTTGTTGTGAGTAGCCCCCTGTTTTGTGGTTAGCTGACGTAAATATGGAGAGGTTGATGGGGTGATTTTGAGGCTCATTACCCTCTTTTGGGTTCACCTCTACTGTGGTCTTGGTTTCCACATAGGACAGGGTGATGCATTGATGCACTGGGCTTGCACGATATTTACCTTGCTCAGTGAGCAGTAAAGAGGATTAGTGAGCAGATTATCAACCACAGGGAGATTGAATTATGCTTTAAAATTAGAATTTTGAGGAGCTTGCTATTCATGTTCAAATGGTTGCAATAGATGGTCAGTTGACTGTTTACAATTGTTGTTATTGGTTGGTTTTGACAAGCTTTGGTTCATTTTGCCTTACTGTGAATTTACTTGCAAAATCAAATGAAGCTACTAATCCCTGAAATTAAATAAGTTTATCTATATATATACATATATCCTCACACACGTGTTTATAAACTTTTAGTACTAAAATTTTTATTGTCTTAAAAACATTTGTTATGCT